TCTTAGAAGACAAAAAACTTCTCTCTATAACCAGGGATTAATTTTTTCGGAAGTAGCTCCTTCTGGGCTCGCAGGAGCCAGGACCATTTTTAATGTGGGGCAAAAGGGGTAGTTTCCCCCGGGCCCAGTCAATGTTGTTGGGCCCAAAGCAGCTGCTCCTTGAGCCCGCAGAAGATACATACGTGGCACTGTTCTGTTAAAGGTGCTTTTCACTCCCCTCATAGTTCTAGCCGACCTGTGACAATGAGACTGTCACAGGTCGGCTCAGTAGATCGGGAGGTGAGCGAACACATACCGGCGTTCGCTCACCTCTCGATCCTGTCACGGCACAGAGCCGTGACAGGGGAGGGGCTGGATTCCCCCCTCCCCGCTCCGATCCGCCAGCGCTGACTGGCGGAAGGGACGGGGGAAGGGGCGGGTACAGCTGGCACTGCCTTTAGATAGGTAGAGCCAGCTGTCAGTTACGCAGCTGGGCGGATCCCTACACAATTGTCGGGATCCGCTTCAGCTGTGGTGTCTCAGTATACCGCTAGCTACAGCTCGCGGTATACTGAGCTTGGTAACCCGGAACCCCTCACCATGTGTAGGGGAGAAACCTGGGTGGCACATACAGCGTCTACAATCCTGCCAGCCGTTGCCTCGCCACATATAGCTTGATAATGGAATTCCGGCACTTGCAGAATGTTCCGGCAGTCAGTTGTGAGCGAATAGCTTTAATGAATTGAAATGTGGGAACGCAAGATCACCATGTTCACATGAAATAGTAACCAACTCTGCAAGCTGCTTTGAATTGCCGGTACGGTTTGTCCTCCGGGCCTGGGGGCGGGGCGGGGGGGCTTATCTCACGGCTGGCCAGGTGCCTCTGACACACCCACACAGCAAAGTTATATCATTATAACCGCATTAGGGAAGTGCGAGTGCATGACCTTGGCTGTGTGTGTTCATTGCACAATCGGTCTTCGCAGTCCACAACTGACTTTCATGTGTGTTGGCGGCCTTTCTGCTCAGTTTTCATGAGACAGCCCTGAGCCCAACGACAGGAATCTTCCCACCGGTGTGAAAAGATGGAAATTGAACACAGTTCAGCCTTTACAGGACCCCCTTTGTAAAGATATATAGTGTTTTCTATTGGTTAGATTTGCTCTATGCATTAAAGTGATATTAAAGCAGAACTCCGGGGAAAAGTATTCTTAACCCTAAAGGGTTCATTCACCTGGGAATCGGCCGGCACGTACAGCTCCGTGCTGCGTGCACGGCTATATCGGGCAGCTCCCAGGAAGGACAGGTGCTGCGTGTGATTAGTACGCAGCCCCTGTCCTTTTCTATGGGACTACGCAGCCGTACGCCACCTTACGCTCACCCAACCTGCACGTCCGTGCGGGTGCGGGTGAGCGTACTTGTATGCTGACAGGATGGATCCTGTCTGCGTCTGTGCCGGGACACCCGCACCCGCACGGACGTGCAGGTTGGGTGAGCGTAAGGTGGCGTACGGCTGCGTAGTCCCATAGAAAAGGACAGGGGCTGCGTACTAATCACACGCAGCACCTGTCCTTCCTGGGAGCTGCCCGATATAGCCGTGCACGCAGCACGGAGCTGTACGTGCCGGCCGATTCACATGTGAATGAGCCCTAACAGTGGGGCTACCCCGGCACTGCAAGGGTTAAGTGCTTGTTTGTGTCTAAGTAAAAAAAAAAAAAAAGTTATACTCACTTGAACCTCGGATCCGGCCAGGCTGTGTCAGCGCTCCCTCCAGACTTACTCCGCTGCAGAGATGGTATGTCCCTCTGAGTCCTCATGTCCTATACGCTGTGTATAGAATGTGATGACTCAAAGATCCTTAGCTGCAGTGGAGGGGGAGAGAGGCTCCGGTGACAAGTCTAAGAGCTGGCCGGCTCCGAGGATCGGGTGAGTATAACTTTTTTTTAAAAACCAGACAAAGAGAAGCACTTAACCCCTTGCCGTTTGGGGGTAACCCAACTGCAAGGGTTGAGATGTTCTTTTCCCCGCAGTTCCGCTTTAAAGTCAAAAGATTTTCAGCTATTTTAAATGCAGATGAAATCAGTGGCGTCACAAGGGGGGTGCGGTCCGCACCCGGGTGACACCATTGCAGGGGTCACA